GCGTAGACTGACGTTTATTACAAAATGCTGCAGCTCTTATTACAAAATGCGTCGTTTGCATTTAATACAAAATACTGCAGGTAATTACAAAATGCTGCAGCTTTTATTACAAAATGCGTAAGGTATTACAAAATGCGTAGTTATTACAAAATGCCGCTGAACAGTGCCCACTGGTTGTAATGGCCTTTTTGCCATCTCGCGCTAAAAAAAGTCGGCTATCCCGCATTAGCCTCAGTTGCAAGCCAGTTCCAGTCCAAAACCGAGAATACAAATATAGTCTAATGCTGACCAGGATATGCAAACATTTTTCAGACCAAAATGTTCAAATATAGACTAAACTGGCTTCAAAACTACAGGTATACCATGACCGATAACTACGGTCTAACGAAATATTCACAAAAAAATAATTTTAAAACTGCTCAAAACGGCATTCAACAGAATTTACTACCGCGGACTGGCTTCCAGACCGTGCAGACTCTCCCCTTGGATGTGGTATCAGCTGCTCGTTGCCTCACAGTACCCTGGCACAGTACGTCCTGCAAGGCGCATCATAGGAATTCAATTGAGATATCTACCGGTAATTCTCAGGAAGGTTGTTACATTTTGCGTTGTTATATTTCGCGTTAACGAAGCTGCTAAAGTTTACGTTAAGAGGTTGTTAAAATTCAGTTAAAAAAGTGTTACACTGCATCAAAAGTTGTTACAATTCGAGTTAATGTTAGATTTTGTGGCGTAACATGGATCTAGCAGGGCACGCAAAGTCTGACACTCGCTGCGTGATACGCACCTAAACGGGATTTTGTGGCTCACGCCCCGTCCACCTTGGGGGAGGGCTAGGGACTTCCATATTTAAAGGACGTGGGTGCTCGTCGGCAATTTTGAAAAGAACCCCTAAGAGATACCAAGATCCTGCTTTTTTGGGCGTGGCGTAAAAGGTTTTCTTCACCTCATAAGAGGTACCAATTCTAAAACAACAAATTCTTTCTCCTGTCATATACTTTTTTCGGTTAAATACCATAAAAAGTACCGCAAAAGTTGCCGCGTTGCTCATGATTACGCCAGATTTTAAGTTTCAACTGCGGGTGTGGAATCCACCGCGAGAAAATACTGCTCTTGAGGACAAACTCTCCATGTCACACAAGTAACAGTGAAGAAACATAAGTCGCATTGGAAGACAAATCCCACATAGCGCGAGCGAGGAGAACTAGCTAGAACTTCACGAACTGAAATGCAATCCGAGCATTAAAATTTTTATCCTGGGTACCAGAGGTTTTTTCTCGCGCGCGGCGGACGGAAATACTTTGCTTCGCTTTGGGCAAGAAAAAACTCTGGCACCTAGGGTGTAAAATTTTGCCCACAGACAAACATTTCTGGGCTTGTTCAAGCTGATACACTTTGATAATTGAATAGGCTGTGTAGCTATCATATCACTATATCACACAACAGCTCTCGAGAAAAGCTTTGCATGTCTATTTTATAGTAGATTTAATCATCACAGCACGATCGCATATGTACAGTTTGATTTTGAGATCATTTCAATCAACAAAGGCATGTTGCAACGCCTCATCCCTAAAAACAATAAATAAGAAGACCTAAAGCCGCCCAAGTGAGGATGGTGAGGGGGCACCCTCTAAACGAGGCCGGCCCGCCAAAATACCGGGAGTCGAATCCCACTTTACCAGTAAAAGCAGTGAATGAAAAATTCAAAACAAAAAACAAAAAATACAATAACTTAAAGTAAAGAACAATGTCAACTATTTACAGTTAGCACAAAATGCCATGGAACAGCAAGGCAGTGACACCAACAAAGGCGACCGCATGTTAGGAAAAACTGGACTAGAAATATTTACACGTTGAAAGCGAGGGAGGAATTCCTGATTGAACAGATAACACCATTTGCGCCCCACTGACGAAGAAAATAACGGCGTCTGCGGTTGGAGCGAAACCTCTTAAAGAAGAGACTAATCATTAAGTGTTAAATATTTACCGCTGTTTATTCTTTGACAGTTTACTCTCTTATGAAGGTCTTAAAACAAATTTGAGCGAGGTGTTTACTCATCAATAACCCTCTAATCAAACTTAAAGGAAGCATATCAAGAGAAATGTTCACTAAGTCATTGACAACCAAACCTGTTGAGCTCCGTAAAAGTAAAATCTTCATTTAAGATTTTTCGTCTTACCTCAGCACCAGAACAAACGCTGACTTAACTTGTCAGCTATCAGTCTCCAGGTGCTGAGGTAAGACAAAAAAAATCTCAAATTGAGATTTCGGTTTTTACGGATAGGAGGAGGGGAGTCTTATTAATTAAAAGGAAACTTGTTAGTGTAAAAAGAAACAAGGAGAAACAGTACGGTAGGTAGGTAGCTCCATAAACATGTTTTAATTTCAAAATAATTTTGCGAGTAAATAATATAAAAATAAGAACGTCAAAGTTGAACGACTTGAATCCCGTTCAAGCCTGAATTTTGTTCTGGCTTTATTTTCGCAACGGCCTAAGTTGAGAACCTAACTACAATGGTCTCTTATGTCTTAATTCAAAATGTTTGTTTCCTGCATGATGGAGCTGATCTTACGATACTAGGGTGCGTTTCTTTAGGAAACTCAAGATTGGATTCTTAAATCCAAAACTGAACGGATTTTGCGTTTCTTTACTAAACGGATCAATCCAAGATCACTCGGATCATGGTGCATCAAAGGAACCGAAGAATACTTGCATTAACCCACAGTGGATTCTTCGGTTTCTTTGATGCACCATGATCCGAGTGATCTTGGATTAATCTGTTTGGTAAAGAAACGCAAAATCTGTTTTGAGATTTAAGAATCCAATCTTGGATTTTCCCAAACTGAAAACGCATCCCTTAACTAACCCACTCCACGGCCATGGGTTAGTCTTTCTGTCAGTGGTAACAGTATGGCTAGCTCGTTAAAAAGGGGGAAAAAACAAAAATCTGTTCAATTCTAACAGAGTTAAGGATAGAGTATCAATGTTTAAATTTACACTGACTTCTCTGTTCGATGGAAATTAACTTATATGGAACGTCAGACAGCTGGAACGCATTATTTACAGCCTCAGTAGCACCCATGCGTTTTCTTTCCTCTCTCAGCTTGGAATTTTATGACGCTGTTCTCTTACCTTCTCTCACCTTCTCGCACCACCGCCCAATCCTTTTCCAGGCGATTTGCACTAACCCGCGAGAGGAAGAAAATGTCTAGGGACTAAGCTGTCAGCTGGCTGTCTGCATTCAGTAAAATAAGTCTCAACACTTCATTCACTGCCGGCTTCAAGTATCCCGACATTTTGCAAAACTGGAGAATATTTTGAAATCTAAATTACCGTACATGTTACTATAGTAAATGAAGTTGCTATCCAAAAGGTAAAAGGCTGATTATGAAGTAAAAAGCAAGTGCAAGTTGTTTCAGGAACTCTTTTGGCAGGTAATTTGCTGTTCTATATAGCAATTCAATTAGTAATATTTTTTCCGCATCCACTTGTAAAATCTGATCGATTTTGCATTGCCAAATAACTGATAAATACACAAAGTTTCACAACCATTTATACAATATTATTAACCTCCAGACACATTTTTATCAATTTTGAAGAAATTTTGAAATTTGGATTCTATAATTATTTCCTATCTAGGATATAGTTAAGTTAGTAACTTAGTCCCATTGAAGAACTATTTCCTTCAGTTTCTTCATAGCAATATTTGCTCCACAAGAAATAATCACCACGCTTTGTCCTTGAAATTTTTTCTGTTCTTTCAAATAAGCAGCAATTGCCACTCCAGCTGCACCTTCTACAATCTGAAATATGCAAGAGAATCGATACGTCAATCAATCGATCAATCAATCAGTCATTCAATCAGCCAGTCAGCCAGTCAGTCAGTGAATCAGTGACTCAATCAGTCAATCAATTAATCAGTCAGTCAGTCAATCAGTCAGTCAGTCAATCAATCAATCAGTCAGTCAATCAGCCTATTAGTCAATCAATCAGTGAATCAATCAGTCAGTCAGTCAATCAATCAGTCAGTCAATCATTCAATCAGTCAATCAATCAGTCAGTCAGTCAGTCAATCATTCAATCAATCAATCAATCAGTCAGTCAGTCAATCAGTCAATCAATCAATCAGTCAGTCAGTCAATTCGTCAGTCAATCAGTCAATAAGCCAATACCTCAATCAGTGAATCAATCAATCAATCAATCAATTGGTCACTCAGTGAGGCAGTCAATTAGTCAATCAATCATTTATTCATTCAATCAATCCATCAGTCACTCAATCAGTCACTCAATCAATCAATCAATCAATCAATCAGTCAGTCCGTAAATCAGTCAGCTAATCAATCAATCAATCAATTACTCAGTCAGTCAATCTGTCAATCAGTCTATTATTCAATCAATCAATCAGTTGGTCGATAAAACAGTCAGTCAATCATTCAATCAATCAATCAATCAATCAGTCAGTCAATCAATCAATCAATCA